AATAAAAGGACTTGGGATTGGAAGAACGAACATTAGGGAAAGCTATATGGCAAAGCTAAAAGAATTGTGGAAATAATGCTATTTAAAAATAATTGTGTTAGAAATCTTCCTAATGGGATTAGTCCATTTCATTGACTTAGATAGTTATAAAATTAATTCCTTTTTGTGGGAATTTTAATTGGGTGGCTACAACCAGATGCACATAAGGAATCCCCTCCTGGTACTAGAATTGCAATCAGGATGTTCAATTCAACAATAGAATTTGATTCATAAATTGGGTAAATCTCCCAATCCAAAGAGGTTCCATATAGCTACTGTGCACCTAAAATTGCCTCCAGATGGTTTTCTTACTTTCATGTTATTCTAAGTGTTTTACTCTTGGTGAAACCTCTTCACATGTTAGGCTACTTGTCTACTTTCATTCCCCTTTACCCTCACCTCCTGAAATATTTCATCATTTTATCTTTTGGGTCAACAATTATGGAAAATAAAATTATTTCAATATCAAAGGATTTTAATTATCATCTTGTTCTATTTTCCCATTTTATAGGTTAAAAATCCAAGACTAAATAGGTTACTTTCCCCAGGATCATGCAGCTGGTTAAGGGGAAGAGTGGGAAAAGACTGCAGGTCCTTCTTCTGCAGGCCTCCAAATGTGCCACCTACTCTACACTAACTTTCATGGAGTAGCTTTCTCATCCTCTAATTTTCCTTCCCAGGAGCCTTTGCCAGCTCCTTATGGCTCCTTTGTGACATGGAGATCAATATTACACACACACAATATGTTTATACAAGTGCAATCTCTCATGCCCTGGTTTGTTTCCTAAACACATTTTGTGGCCTTTTGGCCTAATTTGCACATTGGGCATATGTCTCACTTTAAGTAGGCTGGCCCAAATGCCTTCCTTCTCCAGAGAGTCTTAAAATAGGAAAAAAGAATTCAATAGGAAATCAAAAGAATACAAGAACATTTGAAATAATACAAATGCATAACAGAAAACTAAAAAGTTACGATCCCATCACCTCACGCAACTCTGTAACCATTATGATGCATGTATTAATCTGCTTTCATACGGCTGATAAAGACATACCCAAGACTAGGCAATTTACAAAGGAAAGAGGCTTAATGGTCTTACAGTTCCATGTGGCTAGGGCAGCCTCACAATCATGGTGAAAGGCAAGGAGAAGCAAGTCATGTCTTACATGGATGGCATCAGGCAAAGAAAGAGCTTGTGCAGAGAAACTCCCATTTTTAAAACCATCAGATCTCATGAGACTTATTCCTATCATGAGAACAGCACAGGAAAGCCTCACCCCCATGATTCAATTATCTTCTGCCAGGTCCCTGGCAGAAGCCAAACCATATTAGTTCACTTCCTTCAGACTGTTCCTGTAGGCATCCCCTTTTTATTATCATTATTTTTCCTTAATTCAACTTAGTTCAAACCCAGTGTTGGAATAAGCTGTCTATAAACTGCCTTGTCCTTTCCTTGAATCAATGAAAAAGCATCCCAAGAATATCAATACATCTAGAGCCTCTCCCAACACATAATTGGGAGTTGGAAATAATTTTTCAGCCATCCTTTGGTTAGGAGGTTGTGGAAGAGATTTCTAATTGCAAGTTTAATGTCCATAACTCCCTTTTATCTTTCTAAGAGAACTCCAATTTTATTGAAGGCAACTTAATGCTAAGCTGAAGAACTCTATTTCCACAGCTATTCTTTTAGTTAGGATTGGTCATATCAAACAGATTTGGTGAAAGGAGGTAAGCAGAAATTACATGGTGGAGTACTGCAGAGAATGCACTGGCTGACTTATTTGATAAGCATATGTCTGCTTTCCCCTCTTCCTCCTTCCTCCTCCCTGTATGGTGGATATAATGGTTGGAGCTGCAGTAACTAACTGTGACCATGAAGCAATACTGAAGATGGAAACTAGATGCTAAGGATGTTGACATCTGAAAGAATAAGGCTGGAATTCGCTGACATTCTGGTTGCTTCTATATGAGTTCTAGATTAACAACTGCTCAACTTTCCATTGTTTGAGAGAAAAGTGCATTTCCATTTTACTTAATCCACACTTTTTATTAGGCTGTTTTTTACTTGAAGCTAAAAAGTACTAGTTAATATAGGAGCCAAATAATCCTGAAATATGTACAAGGAAAGCTTCCCTTGAATTCCATAATGGCTCCTCTGAGCCTGAATCTTTTGTTACCTGGGATTCCCCAGTCATCTCTATGCACCCCTACCTTCCATGTTGGTAACTTGGCAAAGCCAGAACCTCAGGTATTGGACACTTTGGGCTTGACACTCTAGAATCATAGTGCTGTGCTCTTTTCCTCTTACACTGCCACTGTTTCCAGCTGCATTCCCCAAAATGTCCAAGCTTTGCCTGGGGAACTGTTGCTGCTTCCAAATCTTACCTGTCCTCACTCCCATCCCCACCCCAATTTAGTTTATGCACCTGCTAAGGATCATCTTGGCCAGCTTTCTACCAAATGCTTAATAGAACATTTACATGTGTTATTTATTTGTAGGACATTCTCTAACATCTTCTCAAATGATTTTTATCTAAGATTTCCAAATTTATTTTCCCCCGCTTCCTAACAATCTCTATCAAACTGAGTGACTCGTTCCCCCATGGTTCTAGTAAAGGGTAATCAGTGTGAATTGGACTCAGCCTAAAATCTTTCCATAGATGGCTAATGAAGAAGCTTCTGTTTCTATAAAAAAAATTTTCCCAAAGGTTAGCCATAGAAATAGAGAGGGACTATTCCATTTCATTCTTTTTACCTCTTTATCTTTCTAATTGAGTTATAACTCTAGCAACATACAGGATCTTCAGTCTTTAGGGTTCAGATTTACTTAATGGAGTAGTAACTTTCATTTTTGTTTTATAAAATTAAATTAAAATTTTATTAAGGATTTCAAGTTACATAATTCAAATTTCTAGAATGGAATGGAATCATTCTGGAACTAGAAAAATGGCATAAACACTGACATCCTTTGAAACTTCAATTTTATAAAGAAAATTCTTCTGCAAACCACATCCCCATTATATAACAAGACTAAGTATTATCTACACCTTCACTTTGGTAATAGCTATTTCCTAAAATAATGAAAAAGATGATTTTACTACTTCAGTTCATTAAAAATGGGATTCTATCTGTAAAGTTCAGAAAAAACTGCATTTAGATGAACTACGGTTACCAAAAAAAAAAGAAAGAAAGAAAAAGAAAACACAGAGTGTCTAATCAGAGCAAAGGAAATAATTTTGAAAATAAAGAGAAAAAAGGTATTATAATTGATAAGGATTTCCAGTAGTAAGTTAAAATCTCAGGAGAGGAATGGATAGCACTATAAACAATGTGTTCGCATTCCAAGACCTTAACATTAACTTCTGAAAAAGGAAGTTTTCATCACCTCTAAAAATGAATTCAATGTAATTTTATTAAGAGTAGGAAATCTAGACCTTCCTCTAATGACAATCCAGTCCATCCTCACTGACATCAAAAAAAGTTCAACCCCAAAATTACAATTAGCCTGAGGCATTGTAAACGTGGCTCTACAGTCTGAAATTTAATTACATATTTTGTCAAAAATAGTCTGATTACCACTTTAGTCTCATGACTACAATACTATATAGTGCTCTTCCTATAGTGTTTACTAAAATACAGTCATAAAAAATATCTGAAAAAAATTCTTGGGCCTTGTGAAATAGTGCATCCATCCATTTCTGTAAAAATAGGAGCCATACAAAGATCTAAAAGAATGCTGCCTGCCCAGATCCAGAGTAGAGGTACTTAACCTTCATTTTCCAGTTTAGTTATCAAAGCGTAGTATGAATGAAATGCTGAGCGTTACACTGGCATTACAAATAGGCCTAAAATTTTGAGTTTTTAATGGGATTGAGAAGCATTTTATAAGATTTAACTCAATATGCCTTAACACATCCATAAGGTAGTTAAGTAAATAATACTACCCATTTTAATACATAGTAAACAGAATCATGGGTAAGTGATATACTCAAAGCAATAAGAATTAGAAGAAACCACAGAAGCTTCAGGCCTTCTCTCTAGCTCTAACCCAAAGAAATGAACTTCAATTTAAAAAAAAGTATCAAATCACTTAAGATCTTCTTCTCCTTCTCCTTCTCCTTCCTTCTCCTTCTTCTTTCTTATTCTCCTTCTCCTTGTTTTCTTCTTCTTTTTTTTTTTACATTTGCTTATTAAATAAAGCTGGTATCGTTTTCTTCAATAAGGCAGTAAAAACAGAGTATAACCCCTAATTCAAGCTAAGCCTCTGCTTCTACCTGAATTGGTACAAAATTAAGACATTATCTTGCAAGAACTAAAATTGTATTTGAAATTTTTATTTTAGGCTGCAAAAGCAAGCAAACAACAAATAATGAAAATAGGCTTGTCAAATGATGTAAATTCATCCTTTCCAGGGAAGCAGAAGGTAGACCCTACCACAAATAAAAGATAGTTAATGTAGGTTAAATTTAAAAATATAGTTAAATTCAGGCTAACTTCTGAAAATCCTCTTTTATTCACCTCACTGTGATACCAGTAGCTATACTGAATCAGGTTACTTTCAGTTAACTATGTCACCTATAACACAATAATTGATTAACAATCTAATACAGTTATTGGGCGTGGTCATACTGGAAATTCTTAACCATATGGTTGTCTTGCCATTTTTTTTAAAGAATAAATTGTCCTAGTAGAAGTCACTGCATTTCTGTAACAAAGTAATGAAAGGCACAGCTAATCCAAGCAGACTTAACCCTATTCAATAACCAGCTGAAAATATACTTTGTTCTTCAAGGAAAAAATTATGAAAAAAAGTGTTTCCTTTAACAGTTGTTAATTCATAGATGTATAGATGTACTCCAAGAGCTGCATAAAAATATTCCAGAAAAACCAAATTATGTAGCAGTGAATGAACATGAATGACAGAACTTGTGCATTCAATCTATCTGGCAGAAAAACTAGCTAAAATGCTGGGGAGAACAAATTGGTCTTTAAAATATCAGTTTTCTGCCCTTTAAAAGATTACCTAGTCTACCAAGAAAATACAAAAACATAAGGCTGTAAGTAAATAAGAGTTGTGTTTAGGCTATTACAGTGCAGGTTATCCTCAAGGCCACATACATTTTGCTTCACTGTTGCTTGCTCTCTGCTGGGTTTTGATCCTTCTTTGGGTCATTGTCTAGATCATTTTCCTCATCTCCTTCTTCATCCCCTTCCTTATCCACTTCTTCATCATAATCATTATCATTATCTTCTGTAGCTTCTCCTGTAAAGTATAACACTGATCTTGGGATTGTATGCTCATATAAAAAGTGACCAATTTCAAAGTCTATAGCAAGAATAGCTTCCACAGTATCATCCAGATCTCCATTCTCAGGAACTTCAGGAAGGGCAGAAAAATTAAAGAGTCATTGGAAACTGTTTTAGTCACAGTATGAACAGCCCCATATCCCTTGTGTCTCTGCTTCTTCATAATGGTTTTCAAAGTGACATTCTTTCCTTTTTTCAATCTATCTGGCACCCTGTACAACCCATAATTTCTTGTCCATCAATAGAAAAGGGATCAGAATTATCTGGTTCTGACCTCATCCTATATGTCTTTGTCAGCACTTCATTTGTGAAATATTCACTGGGCTCAAAGTGGAATTCTAAGACAAAACTCATAGGCTGGCCAGCATCTGAGAACTTCATTTTATTATCTTTCAAGTGCTTCAGAATAGATTCATCATGTTCCTGAACCATATCACTGAGTAAGTCATTCTTAAAAACAGTTAACCAAAATTCATGAATTCCTTTGGGGTCTTCTTTTTCTTCATCCTTTTTCACATCTTCATTCTTGACATTTTCTTTCAACTCTTCCAAAATCTCATCTTCTTCATCTGGTTTCCATTCACTTTCTTCTTCCATAGGTTCATAAACTAAATTAGTAATCTCAAATCACTTATCAAATAGAGACTGAGAGAACATCATAGAGAAGTGATAACCTTCAAACCACTCTAAAATGTTCAATCTGTGAATAGAAATAAAAGTAAACTATCAAATTAAAATATTGGCTCCTAGATTTTAGTAGTAAATAATTTTTTTCCCTAGACCATCACTCAGTAACATTAGCTTTTGGTTATATGATTCTGAGAGGACAAGTATTGTCTCTTTGGGTTCTAGTGTCTTTTACCCAAGCCCATAGGAAAGCAATCTTTCTGGTCCAGATTCTCTACTAATAAGGCATTAGCAGCACTACTGACTAATGTGATTTAAGATGGCTCATGAGTATGCCCACTTTCAAAAGAGCCTGACCTGAGATAGGGAAGCATGGAAGAGATCACTACGGCTGCCCTAGGAGGAATGGGTTAGAAAAGAATGACTTGGAGGAGATAGAAGGATTGATAAAGGACTCTTGGCACAAGTGTCTCAGGCTCAGCTCTAAGGGACTCAATACCTTCAGCAAATTGGAAACTGGTATACGAGATATCACAAAAGTGATCTAGTCTGACAGCGGCAGTTCTAAGACTCAGAACACTTAATGGCTTCCTTCTCTGTCTTTAGGGAGTGCTTAAAAGTCCTAATCCAGAGATTAAACTATTTATCCCTTACAGAATCTCATTTGCCTTTTCCCATCATTATGCAGAGCAGTTCTGCACTCACACACCCCAGCTTCCACCTCCAGATTTTATCCCCACCACCTATGATGACTTGGCAAACAAAGGGCATTCTGGCTACCAGGACTGCCTCTCAGAATCATATATAACATTTCTTTCACTTACACACAGATAAAAGATGAAATGAAAATAGTTCAAAATCAGTTCAGGTGTTGGAACTATGGGTGATTTTTTTCTTCTTTCTATTTTCAGTCTTCTCATATTTTATTTGATTATAATACATATTAATGAGCTCTAACATTTCCTGAGCACTGACTCTGGGCCAGGTACTGTGCTAAGCACATTACATATATATCTCACTTAATCCTTTTTACAAATCTGTGAATTTACATATAAGGAAACTAAGGAAATTAAGTAACTTCTCAGTCAGTGCTCTGTATATGAGCCCTGGTCTATTTGACATTAAAGTGAGAACTCTTAACTACTACATTTATTTGGTTGTAAGATGTTGAAACTAGAAACTTAATCGCAGACTTATTTTAGGGAATTCAACTGTTATAAAAATGAGAAGATGGCTGAGCACAGTGGCTCATGCCTATAATCCCAGTACTTTGGGAAGCCAGTTGTGGGGGCGGGGAGAATTGCTTGAGCTCAGGAGTTTGAGACCAGTCTGGGCAGCATGGCAAAACCCCACCTCCATTGGTTTGCCAGGGAAACCAATCCTGTGATTAGAGGATTGGAACTTTAAGTTCCACCATTCGACTTCCCAGGAGGTGAGAGGGGCTAACAGTTGAGTTAATCACCAATGGCCAGTGATATCATCAATCATGCCTATGTAATGGAACCTCCAAAAAACCCAACAGAAGTGGGTTCAGGGAGCCTCTGGAGAGCCGGCCACATAAAGGTGCCTGGAGGGTGGTCTGCTGAGAGCAGACGTGGAAGCCCTGCACCCTTTCCCACCTGCCTTGCCCTAGGCATCTCTCCGTCTGACTGTTCTTCTGTATCCTTTGTAAAACCCTTTACAATAAATGGGTAAACACGTTTCCCTGAATTCTGTGAGCCACTTTAGCAAACTGATAAAACCTGAAGAGAGGGGTCATGGGTACGCCAATTTATAGCCAGTCAGAAGTATGGGCTGCAACCTGGGACTTGCCATTGGCATCTGGAGTGAGAAGCAGTCTTGAGAGACTGAGCCTTGACCTGTGAGATCTGACTCTAACTCTAGGGAGATGTGTCAGAGCTGAATTGTAAGACAACCCCCTGATGTCTAATGGAAAATTATTTGGTGTATAGGGAAATAAATCCACACATCCAGTGTCAGAAGTGTTGTGTTGAATAGTGTATGAAAAACCAAAGGGCCAGTTTTCCAATCTCTTACATCTCCTGAAAAGAAATTTAGATTGTATTTCCCCTAAGCACCTGGATGATAGATTTTAAGAATGAGACTAGCTGCCTTTCCTAATAGGATAAAGATGGGTTGGGGCATAATAGCGACTCTCTTTGGGTGCTAAATAGATGTACTTTATAGGATGAAGTCTCCTGGCATTATTGGTGCCAGCACAGCCAAGCCTCAGAGGAGAAACTTTCATTTCCTTTCATGTAATAATTCTAAGTATTATTAAAATTATTATATTATCAAAGTTCTGTTCATCATGTTTAAAAGCAGAAAAAGTGTCTAGAAATTAACAAATGAAACTCAAAGAAATAAAAGTACAGTCTATGGAGTAGTAAAATATTTCTATAGCAGAAATATATGGCCAGGAATGGTGGCACTTTGGGAGACCAAGGCAAGCGGATGGCTTGAGGTCAGGAGTTTGAGATCAGCCTGTCTAACATGTTGAAACCTTGTCTTTACTGAAAATACAAAAATTAGCTGGTTGTCGTGATGCATGCCTGTAATCCCAGCTACTCAACAGGCTTAGGCAGGAGAATCATTTGAACCTGGAGACAAAGGTTGCAGTGAATCGATATCATACCACTCACTGCATTCCAGCCAGGCTGACAGAGTGAGTGAAACTGTCTCACAAAAAATAAATTAATTAATTAATTAATTAAAAAAATAAGTGCCTAATATATGTTCAAGAAGCAAAGTGAGCCCTTCTGTTATTAGGCAAATGGGTAAGTACAAGAGAGTGATTTTCACTGTACAGAGAATTCCTAAGCAAGGGGCTATATTATAAGCTCAGGTGTTCCAAAGTGGTAGTCCCTGCTCAGAAAGTCATGGGCTATGAATCCTCAGGCCTGATTCTTCAGGCAAAATTGACGACTTCCAAGTTGAGGCCCAGAATATATATGAAATATCAGGTGAAATGAGAGCAATGAATCCAGTCCTGGCCAGAGACAGTGGTGTCTTCTTCTCACTTCACCTCTGCCCAGTATAAAGGTCTCCTTCAAGGTAGCCATAGCTATAATACATCTAGATGCTGCGAGCTCTCTCTCTCTAGGACAATGGCTTAGGTATTGACAAGCTCTTGCTTATGTTGTACTGAAATCTGCCTTCTTTAACTGCTGCTCTTTAATCCAGCTCTACATCTTGACAGGGGAGAACAAATTTATTCTGCCTGTCACACAAGAGCCTTTTAAATATTTACAGACAAGGATATGGTATTCCTTTGACTTTTTTTCTTCTACAGGGTAAATGTGATAATTTCTGTCAACTATTCCTGATTTCCTGACCCTTACCACCCCATTACTTTTCTTCTAGTTGGTCAAAATCCCCCAAGCATTGTGGTATCTACCACAGAACCCAGTACTTCAGTGTGGTCCGACCACAGCCCACTGCAGTAGAACCACGGTTTCCTATAATCTCTCCTTCAATTTACTTCATGCAGTCAAAGATTGGGTTGTTTTTTTTCTGTCAGACACATCATAATGTTGGAAAATATTCAACTTGTGGATGATTAAAGTCCCCAGCCCTTTCATATGAACAAATGCTGTTTGGGTAATCATCTCCATACTGAACTTACATGATGGTTGTCTTTTTAGCCTAAATATAGAATTCCACAATTATTTCTGATATATTCCATCTTATTGAGTTAGACAAGAAACTCCAGACTGTCTAGACAATTTTGAATTCTGATTTAGCTCTGTAGCTATAAGTTTACTTTCCAGCTTTGTGTCACCTGTAGGTTTAGTAAAAATGCCATTTAACCTATCGATGCATTGCAAAAGGAAAGCAAACTTTTCTGACATTATTGAAAGTGTAGGCTTGAGTACGTGATGCAAAATGACTTCTAAATTAGTACAGCAATTTATAGACAGCCTTTTTCACTTCTCTCCAACCCACCTGCATGACATGTAATGCAAAGCACACAAAGAAGAAAAGGAGTCCTACTTAATGTGGGTAGTGAGCAAGGAAGAAAACAGAAAGAAGTAGTGACATTACTGGTAACTCTCTCTCTATTCCATCCCTGGTCCCAAGATTGGACATTCTTGTAGTTTTGTCCATGTACTATCCTTTGGGGACTGAAATGGTTCATGATGTGTTTATAGTTCATCCTAGACCATGGCTCAGCCTTGCCACCCATCTTCCCTGTCCAGTGAGATCAGAGGCAATAGGTGGATATCAAGTCACTATTTGAATAGGGTGGATATCAAATACAGCAGCCCCAGTCCATGCAGAATTCAGCCTTTTGATGGTTCTTGATCGAACCGCCAGCAACCATTACTTCCTCCCACTTGTCTTTACCTACACAGGATCAGTAACAGCCAGAAAAGTTCTTCTCCTTCTTGATTTATTTCCTCCTACTTAGACCCAGGTAGAGAAACTGGGACCTAACTTTTATGGCCTTGGTGTTAGGAAAACAAAGCTAACTAATAATATTAAGGAATAGAAGTAATTTTATGCCCAGGGCCTGCTGACCTGTATAATGTTTTCTCTGATGCAGTTGACTCTCTGAACCTGAACATATTCTATATAACTTTTACAGCTCCCTTTCTTAAGGGAGATAATCATAACAATAGATTCTAGGAAAATCTCTTACATGGGCTGATATGTATTCTCCTTTTTCCTCATGGCCCAAGATCAGATCATCTCAAATGCAACTTTAATAAATGTCCTACACAGTCATCAGTGTGAGAGCTGTAAAGCAAGAGTAGAGGCTAGGACTATATTTGGGAGCTGGCCATAGACTTAATTTCAGTATTGGCTTATCCGCTTACCAGCCATGTGATCTTGGGCAAATTACTTACCTCTCTATTCCTAAGAGATGGATAAATAAGAATAGAGTTGATGTGATAAGAAGTAATCAAAATAAGTAATACAAACTAGTTAGTACAGTCCTTGGCATATAAACAGTGCTCAATAAATATTAGTTATTATTAAATAGCCTTCTAATATATATGTTCAGCTTTCTTTTTCTACTGTTCAATTTCTGTGCTGTGATCAAAAACTATTAGGA